CTGGATCCAGGCTAAAGGGATTTCTAGCCTGTGTATGGAAACCTGAGAAACCCAAGCTGCAAAGCAAATGCAGCTTGTACCTTGAGAATCTGCCAGACTGCTGGTATCATCAGTCAGGGTGAGAAACTGCTAATTCATAGTCAATCTAACTAGTGTGCTAAACTTAGTTTGCTTTTTTTGTTTATTTGCTAGGTAATCTGCTTTGATCTGTTTGCTATCACTTAGCTACTTAAAATCCATCTTTTGTAGTTAATACATTTATTTTATGTTTTAATCTAAACCAGTGAGTTTGGCGTGAAGTGCGTGGGAATCTTTGCTCAGAGGGGCTGTTGCATTGAGGGGGAGGCAAACAGGAAAATACATTCGTACTGGTTGGGGTTTGGGACCAGGGCAGGACGGTACAGCTCTGGTCTCCTAGGCTGGGAAGCTGGTGGAGATTTTGGCTGTAGCCTCTCTATTGTTGGTTCATGCAGTGGCTGGTCAGAGAGCCTGCCTGTAACTGCAGCTGGGTGTGTTCATACCTGTGAGTATGCTGGTGGAAGTGTAAGACCGGGAACATGTCTGCAGCTTGTCACAGCAGCACAGTGTGAGAGGGAGCCCAGGCTGGTGGGTCAGAGGGCTCAGTGGTACCCTAGTTCCAGGGGGAACCCTTCACAGAGACATTTACCAAAAAACCCAAATACCACCTATTTTGGTCAGCCCTGCAAAAATAGAAGTGCCTTGTATTCTGTTGCAGCAGTTAACTAACAAACTCTATTCCAAAGCAGGTATTAGTGACCTTGGTGCACAAGTAATTATGTTACACAGCAAAACAACAGAGCCATGTTCATTTCAGCTGTATTAAAATATAAGAGGTGGGGATGAATCCATGTTTGCCTAGCAGGTAGGAATGAAATCACCAAGCAAAGCGAGTTGTTCAAGCTTCTGAGAAAGTGTTATAAAATATAGAGTGGTGGGCTGAGTTGGAAGAGGAATTGACTCTCTCTTTAAATCAGAAATGCATCTGAACTAGAGCCCTGATCAAAACTCCAAACATAAGGGGAAATTGAGACCTGTTTCTGACCTTGGTGGCTTGGACCCATCTCTGTTTAAATCTGTATTTCACAGAGCTAGCTGTGGGCAGGGAAACAATGAAATAAGTTAGTTACCAAATATTTTTGAATCTTCAGCCAAAGTATCTTGAATTCTACAAGTCCCAAGGTGCCAGTCCCGTCGGTCTGGGTATGTTAAGGTCTGGTTCAAATTCAGACTGGATCAGTTTCTACTCATATCAAAGAGGAAGAGTAACCAGCACTGATACAAATAAATGACCCATTGCAATGTAGTGTACTATTCATAGTAGTTTTCATTTGTAATCCGCCCATTGGAGAGACACTTGCAGTTTTAAGGTTGCTTAGCTAAGGGTGTGCCAAGAATTCCTGGGCTATCTGCAGTACTGTATTGGATTGTTAAAAGGTACTACACCTATTAGATTACACTCCCATTTCATACACAGAGGAGTAACCCAATACTTAAAGCTCTTTTTTAATAGACAAAGTGATTGACCTTACATTGGACACTCAGAGGCTGCCCTGATCTATGCTGATTACACCTGTGCTGAGCCAAGGTCATGACGGGTTCAGCTAACATGAACACCCAGTATGATGCTGTGGCCAAAAGAGCTTACAAGATTGTGGGTTGCATAAACCGGGGACTTTCCAGTTGGAGTAAAGAGGTTATTTTACCTCTGTATTTGGCACTGGTATGACCCCTGCTGGAATATTTTGTCCAGTTCTGGCCCCCATAATTCAAGAAGGATGTTGGTAAATTGGAGAGGATTCAGAGAAGAGCCATGAGAACGATTAAAGGATTAGAAAACCTGCTTTCTAGCAAGTTGCTCAATCTGTTTATCTTAACAAAGTGAAGGTTAAAGGGTAACTTGATTACAGTCTACTTGGCTCTTCAATCTAGCAGAGAAAGGTATAACACAATCCAATGTCTGGAAGCTGAAGCCAGACAAATTCAGACTGGAAATAAGGCATACATTTGTAACAGTGACAGTAATTAACCATTGGAACAATTTACCAAGTGTTGTGGTGGATTCTCCATCACTGACCATTTTTAAATCAATTTTTTTAATCTTGCAGCTCCCATTGGCTGGGAATGGCGAACCGCGGCCACTGGGAGCTGCGGGTGGCCGT